TATACAGGGGGCCACCAGTGCCAAGTGACTCCTTGATCAGAATTAAATCTGTGACCGGACCCAGATTTCCCCCCTCCCCTATCATAAACACCTCAGTCCCCCTCCCCCCAGCCCTGCTGTGTTGCCCTCATTCCCCTGTGGGACCCTCCTCTTGGAGGAAGAGCCCCGATAGAGCAGGGAGGCGAGATGCCTGTATACTTAGTTACCCTTTCGCACACCTGAGTCCTCCGCCTCGTTTCAGATGCCAGCAAATGAAAAAGCGATCCTAATCTGTTACTTTGATGGACACGCATTTCATTTCGAAGCTGATTCTGCTACAGATTTGTATTCTGAATCAGTCAGTTTCACATCAGACCTTAAACGGGCAGGTGGCTGCTGAGGCCTGGGATGCTGATGGATGGTATCTGGATATTTTGGGTCCCTTATTTGCGTTAACATTTCCCCTCCACCCACATGCTCTGCTCGGGGTCGACGCCATTTAACGTTTCCATCATTATCATAGCTATGTTGCTTCCCCTAAAGAAAAATTGACCTGCAGTTTATCTGTAGATTCATCAAAATCTGTAGGTTCGTCCCAAAATATTTATAGGTTAAAAAAAATACGAGGGACCTTAAGGCAAACTTTGCATTTTCATTAACACATCAGTACTGCAAAATCAATTTATTTGATTTCGCTTAGTAATTTGCAATCTACGTGTAATAGATAAGGGCTAAGTTTTCAAGCAATGCTGTTATGGAGAATTATTATCCAGGAAATAAGTTCTAGCAGTAGAATTTTTACACCTTCTTGAGTTCCCACACCAATGATAAACCGCAATAAACAAAGGATTCTGTTCTTTCAGTCTTGCTGTCAGTCCTGCTGTTTTGTCAGTCTTCCTGTCAGTTCTGCAGCTCCTCTGTTGTCCTTTCTCAGTATTGCTGTTCTCTTACGTCCTCTCAGTCCTGCTGTTCTGTTCTGTCAGTCCTGCTGTCAGTCTTAATGTCAGTTGTACCGCTCTGTCAGTCCTGCTGTTCTGCTCTGCTCTGTTCTGTTGTCAGTGCAGCTGTTTCGTTCTATCCGTCCTGCCTTTTCTTCAGTCCTGTTACCAATCCTGTTGTTCTCTTTTGTTCTGCCCATCATAGTAATATGAGTTTCGCTGTCCTGACACTGCAGTGTTTCTACGTTCTTGGAAACAGTCACATCCAGCGTTCTTGGTCTGTGGCCTAGGCTACAGACGTGGCCCTGTGTCTGATCTTTGGGTGGTTATGTGTTTGTGTTAGCGGAGAAAGCTACTTCTTTCTCTCCTGAGCTGGTCAAAAGCGCCACTCTCCGTTGCCATGGTTACTAAGATCTTGGCCAACAAAGTTGTGAGGCAGTGGTCACTGGCCATCAGTGAAATCGCAGGAGTGTTAGCGACAGTTTAACATGCCATAGATATTCATCCATACGCTTAATTGTGCTTTATTTAACTCACCCTTTTTTCTGTTTCTTGACTGATTCTGCTGTGCTATATTTTAATGGGTAATGAAATGCTAAATCAATATTAAACCCTTGACTGAAAAATAATGTTTAAATGATTACTCATAATAGGTCTGGACTAATTAATATGCCATGTGTTTTTTTCGGGCAAAAACAAAGAGCCACTACAGTTCAAAGACGTAAAGTTGGGGAATTAGCATCACTATATTGGCCTTAGCTTGTGATTATATGTGTAAGTGTGTGTTTGTGTGTGTGTGTGTGTGTGTCTACCCTGTGGTGACATTACATCAGCAAATCTCCATGACCCTGTACTGGACGAATGGTTGGATGATGGATGGATGGATGGATGGATGGATAGATGGTTGGATGGTTGCTAGGGTTAGCATTAGCTTTGTGAAGAGCTACTATAATGACCCGCAATAAATTTATTTCTAAGTTAACAATGCCATCTAAGAAAGTAGGTTATGACAGAATATGGAGAGCAGAGAGGTTAACATCTCTCCCTGTGTAAAGTTTATAAATAATTTATAAATTAATTATTCAGGAAACACTGTTCGAAGATTTTATTAAGCAAAATGTGGCATAATTCGCTTGACAGGCCCTAAGCCATCCTTCACAATGCTGTCAGAGAAGACTTGATCTTACAAATAAGGAAATGATTCTGGCAAATGTCAGATTTATTTTCCTCATCAATCAATTTCCTGAGCATTCTGTGATCTCTAGAGACCTTTTAAGGGTGGGCCGGTGCAAACATCTCAGATAGCAATCTGATCTGGATTTTTTTGTCCCCTGTTCTGTGTAGACTCTACAGCGCTGTCCCTTATTTTACATGCTGTCACTATGCACCAGACTCTGTCTGCGTTTTACAGTTTCTTCAATAGCAAGGATTTTATTTTTCTTACTTCTCAAGAAGGAAACATGAACCTGTGACTTCGCCTGCATTATACCTAATGCACTTTGTTTTTGTATTAATTTTGAGTTGTAAATTAATTGTCGTTACATTGCTTAACAGGGTCCTGCAGGTTAGTCTTTATTCTGCTATTCGAATTTTAATTAGTGGATTTTCTTGTGCATAAAATTATATTTTATCCCATAAAACCAATGGACAGTTGTTCCATTAATCAGTTACTTGTCCCTCATCATAAAAGGTGTGGCCATATGGACACAATAAATTAAAATGTAAAAAAAAAAATTAAAAAATCATAAAGTCAGATAAATTGCATGAAATAGGGGGTGTTGCAAGAACCAACAGATTCAAAGGCCTCGTATCTCATTTATGATTTGCTGCATAAACTGTAAATGGTTTATAATTCATGGCACATATATTATTAGCCTCTGTTGCAACTCATTTGTATATTGAGTCTGTGAGTCAGCCAAGTGTCGGGTGAATCAAGAGGTGATGTTTCTGCAAATCACTGCTACCGAATTGGATATGCTCTCAACACTTCATATCATCATCATAACTGCTCAGAGTTACTTGACATCTGTGACAGTATTGGGGGACCGAGTGCAGCCTGCTTCCTGTTTGCCGCTTCCCTCTGCTGCCCGGAATGAGTCCCGCTGTAGTTTTGAGGAAAACCAGGACACCCCACTGACCTACTACAGACCGGAAATTAATGCGACACCCCCACATAACAATTCCAGCAGAGAACACATTAGCTGAGTTACCGTGTGGAAGCCTTGGCATGTTATGTGTGCAAGGAAGTCTTTAAAAACACAACGTTCTTAGATATCCACTTTATACACTTTATACGACCTAATTTCAGATGTGTTTTGCAAAAAGTCTTTATTTATTGTGCTGGGATTTTCTCAACTGCACGATACCCTGGAGACTGTCTCCTGGACTAGCTGACCAATGTGTAGTGTAAGAAAGCATCTTAGAATATATCTGACTGGGTTGCATTGCTCCATGAGCTGATGCTGAAATAGCGGATGCTTGGTTTACTTTAGGACAACTCCAGCTGAAGGATGCTTTGTTTCTTCTCAAATGGATTTTCTAAAAAGTGAGGCTGACTACCATCAGGCATGAAAGTTATTGTCTTCCAGTACTACGCAGGGGATCTGTATGATGCAGAACCCCTTGGCATATAGTTTTAAATCAAAATAAGCATCTCATCCTTATATTTTATGTACCAGAAAAGCAACCTGAATGCAGCCATTTCATATAGCATTGATTATTGTAATCGTGTACCTCAGATCGATCCAAATGGGACTGCAGAATGGGCATCGCTAATTTGTAAATTCTGAGGATAGGAAATGTAACATTTTTTTTAACTTTTTCCATCTTGAGTTATGAGACCTAAAATAGAGTATGTCCCAGTGAGAAATACATGTCAAAATATCTTTCATCAAGTTTAAATCCCGACTACTGTTAAGGCTGGAGGTATTTAGGAAGTGGGAAACTGAAGAGGCGAAGAAGCTGACTTGCTGACCAGTCTCAGAGAGACATATCCCCTGCATGAGATACCTGCCATGCTCCCAAACCTGTAACGGCCAGCAATCAGATTCTGACAGTTTGTTAAACCCATCTGCTGTGAGTCCTTCTTTGTGCTGCACTAAAAGCACTGTCCCTCCCTCTCTCTCCTTCTCTCTCCTAGTCTCCCTCTCACATCAGCTGCAAGGCCATCGTGGGTCATTCCCCATTGTCCATAGTCAAAGCAGCGCAAAAGGGTGGTTTTTAACACAGAAATAAATCAGAAACGAAAAAACATCTCTTATACATACTATGAGCGAGTGTGACAGAGTGAACACACGCTTCGTCATTCCTAGATGTCAGGGGGGGCTGAATTGAGAACGAACGCCAAGCTTCGTGTTGGTCCCCCCCCGTCCCACCCCAACACACATTCAGCCAAGTCCAAAAACAAAGCCAACATCTCCTATAGAACTGCTATGAAATTAGCTTGCATAGGCAAAGAAATGTAGGGAAATGTAGGGCGTAAATATTCCTTTATCTAAGTATATCTGTCACAGGATTGTACGTACTGAATATAACTCATTTCTAAGAAATTAATGTTCATTATTTTCCTGTGAATGTTTCTTATCCCAAACAAAAATCGACAGCTGAATTTATCGTATTATTAGGCCAAAATATTAATGTGGTATTTGTAATATCTGTGTATTTTTACTTGATTTCATTGAGTAAAATGCATCATAGTTTGCTTGACTAGTCATTAGTCCCAGAAAAGGCCTGCTTTACAAATAAAATCTTTCTAGGCACTTGCTAAGCGAACAATGCACATTTGTAGCAGTTGTTAGACTTAACGTTTCCTGTTGTATGTGTTGATCTCTTCTGTACATTGTCTCTAAAATCTGACAGGTGAATCACCAGATCCCAGATTTTACACGGCGACAATGCAGAGCAGTGACAGCACCTCGCAGTCAACGTCACTAGTGATTTTCGGTTCTCGCTTTGAGGCCGGAGGACATGTCATACTCTGAAGACGTACCCCGGTTGCCCCTCTTTGCTCCCGCTCTAGGTCATGCTGTGTAATTCTCACTGTGTGAGGTGGGCTTTTCACACTGCTCTGTCCTTCCATTGCAGGCTCCATTAAGAACAGGATGCTAATGCTTGACGGAATGCCTACTGTCAGAGTCAAAGCAGAACCCCTGGAGTCTGAACAAGGGGTAAGCGAGCCGTTGTTTTTCTGACTCTTCCCTCCCGTCATAGCAGCGCACAGTCGTAATTACTCCCAGGCCTGGCCGGCGTGCATACCAGTCGTGACGGGGCTCAGTGCCGCAGCTGGACCAGGAATGCGTGCATGGATCTCCCACAAACTCCCACCCCCATTAGCCCGAGCGAGCGAGGCTCTGGAGGCCAACGCGGCCATCTCTCCGCCATTAGAGCGGCGACACCGCGGAAGTGGAGTGACACACTGGGCCACCTTCATCCTGAAATGCCTTTCACTCTCCGGCTGCCATGCAGCCGTTAAACGTGACCCGTTTCGGCGTAGGTCTGCGAAGGGAGCAAAGAAACATGTCAAAACGACAAAGCGTCCACACATACCAATATCGGCTCGTTTTGTGGTTTGGGGATTATTTAGGATCCCAGTATATATAAAATGTAGGTGTGTGGTTTTATTAAGCTCCTTGCTGGCTGTCCACTCGTCTTCCCTGCATTTCACAGCGTACTGTGTAATATTTTGGCGTGAACATCGAGGCAAAGGAAACGCATCTTCTATGAATCTGGTCTCATTTTTTTTTTTCTTCAAGGGAACAGACGGGCTAAGGCGGAGAATTTGTGTTTTTTCTTCAAATGTTGTGGCTGAACCTCTCGAGTCTTTATAACCATTGGAAAAAGTGACACTATTCAAACAAAATCTTAGTATTTAAAGTGCAAAATTTTTTAAATCAGAGCAGATCGTTTTTTTTTTTTTTCCCTGGCCCCTAACCTGGTATTTTGAGAAAATTAACCAGCTGTACATTTTGGACCATTATTAAAATCAAGCGCTCTGAAACCGTTACCAGGCAACACAAGCTTTGCCTTGATGATACAGCTGTGGAATACACTTCCTCTTCTTTTGTGCATTATAATTTCTGGTAATGGTGCATTTGTGACAAACAGTCTGATACTTAGTGATAATTCAATCCAGAATCTCTATTCATACCATTCGGACATTGATGCTCGTCTGTTGATGGAAATGACTAGACCTTTTAGGTTATTTGTACATTTGTTGCTGCTGTAATTGTGTAAGTGTCAGCCAAAGGTGATGAAACTTAACACGCATTTGAGCGGCCAGTTGCCCTGCTACTCGTGGACCTCAGTGTTTCGTTGTTCTGTGTGTAAGTGTTTGCACTGTTGAGGTCTTGCAAGCTCCCGCCGCCCTTGTACTCCCAGCTATGACCAGTGTCAATGAATGTACTAATGAGTGTTGGTAGTAGGTAAATAAACTTAAAAGATGTGTGGCTGATTGGGCTGAGCCTCTGTGCCTGTGATCTGAAGGTCGCTGGTTTGAGCCCCACCCTGGCAGAATAGCACCGTGTCCGTGAGCCCTTAAGCAGGGCCCTTAACCCCCGGCTCCATCGCTGCTGCTGCAGCCGGCTGCCCATCACTGCCAAGCTTGAACTCACATCTCTGTGTCTGGGAGAGCAAGACGGAGTAGTTATTATTATTATTATTATTGTTGTTATTATTACAAGTAACTGAAAGTTAAATGGAGGAAGCCTGCTATTAATCATGGGATAGATACCTAACAAAAATTAGACAAAATTAACGTACTGAATGTACATTGACAAGGTTTTATCTTCATAATGGCTTTCATTAAACAGATGTAGGCCAGTCGTGTTGTTAGGCAGCAGGATGTGTGCAAACTACAGAAGGCCTGTTTGAAGTGCATCAGGCTCATTAAAGCATGTTTCGGCCGGCCTGACAGCACGGGTGCAGTCACATGGTCCTTTGGGGGGGGGGGGGGTCAGATCTGCATATGGTCAACCCCCTAAAACATTGGACTGGAAGATGATTCACGTTATACCCACGGTTCCATACAACGAGGCCATTTGTTGAGACAGAAGTAGCTAGTTTAAGAGAGAAAGTGAAGGTGAAGGAGTGAGAGTTACAGTGGGTGAGGCTTGAAAGTTTTTTTTTTTGTTGTTGTTTTTTCCATTTGTCTTGATATGAGTCAAGTGAAACTTCAACCGGTATGCAAAAATGACATTTAGGCCACGGAATATTATTTTTTAAAAAAATTGTCAGTGATAGGAGAACGTGCGAAGAAATCATGAAGGTCACCATCTCTTAAAAAATCATGAAGATCACCTCACGGTTCATCAGTTGGTATATTTCAGTTGTGTGGAGGGTATGTTTGTCATACTTATGCCACTGTAACAGAGCATAAGATGTCACACATTAAAAACAAGAAACAGGACAATCAAAAACTTTGCCCTCCCTCCCCCCCCCTCCCCAAATATACCACAGTACATCGCTGTCACATATGAGTCGCACATGGATTTCTTTTCAGCAAATGACCACACGCTGTTCTAAAAGAATCCTAGACATTGCAAGCTCTGTGGATGATCTATGAAACGGTTACAAAGAAACACCAAAAGAGGGCAAAGTTTCGCACTTAAAGTCTGTTTTGAAAAACCAAATAATGTCAAACCTACTATTGCCCTTTTTTGTCAGCCGTCAGCATCAGTAGCATTTTCCATTCGGTCTGCCATTTGTCCTCCTATTGATTGATTACAATTTAGGGCCCACAGATATGTACAGTTTAACAGTGTCAAATTAGCAGAATCTCCTTCGGACTTATCGCCGTGTTTAGCAAACTCGCCACTTTAGTTTTTTGCCTGGATTGAGCGATGATGCTTCTTGTTACTCCTCTAGCTGTGAATGAGCACTTCTCACGCTACCCTAACTTACATTATCTAAAAACGTTTGTAGGGAGCATGTTATGTGACACGGCAGCAAGGTTCTTCTGAATATTGTTGCTCCTGTTAAAGGTATGCTTTTGTAAACATTTTGCTTGAAAAATATGGAGATTGTAGCCTTTTTCGCTAATGTCTCAGAATCGCGACAGGCGCCAAGATACAATGTAAAAAAAAAAAAAAACTCTCTCTTTCTCCCTGCCTCTCTCCCTCGTTCTCTCTCTTCTGCTTTCACCCTCTCTCGCTCGCTCTTTAGAGCTGATTAGTGCTACAGCTTATGCAAATGAGATCTGAGTGTGGAAGCGGAGTCCTCAGTACGCGAAAAGGCGAAGACACACAAAACAGGTTGATGCAGTCACGTATGCGGTCCTTCACATTAGTGGATCTTTTGCGCTGGTGACATGTTGACACAGTGTTGGTGTTATGTGTTTTCTATTCTGGCTGGTCCTGCCATGATTGTGATGCTCAGGGCTCTATGGTGAAAGGTAAAAATGGCACAACTATTCATGTTAGAATGATTGCCTGTCAGCTTTTCACTTTATCTATGTCCCTCTTCCAAGCAACACAGTTTTCAATATTTCCCAGTAAGAGCGATATATAAAAATCTCAAAAATAGCCGATTGCAATTACTTTACCTTCCTCTCTGCATGTCAGTAGTATAGCTTGCATCATATTCAGTGGTACAACTGTGGATTGTCAGAAGTGTCAGAGAGTTCCAGAATCAATAGCCAAATTCAGTGTCGTCTAATGGAAATAGGGCTGATTCTGTATGGTGGCTTTCAGTGGTGATGCCGATCTTCCCTTCTCACCCCCCTCTCTTCGGGCTTCCGAATCATGACAGAGCCGCCGCACGTCCATTCAGTGCCGCGAGCATCCGTCAGCCTCGCCCATGGCGACCGCTCAAGTGCCGCAGCTGCTCCTTACAGCACAATGACAGCGGCGTAATGAACAGATAGCGAAGGTTGAAGAACAAAAGCGGTGACGGCAAGATTGCAGTGATGCAACAAGACATGCGACTTGGACCGGATCCCACAACCTAAGGCTACCGCTTTTGTCTTGGGGAATGGCTGCGTAGAGTGCATTTATTCTATATATACAGCGGTTGGCAGAGTGAGAAGACAAACAAGAATGTAATCTCCGAGAGTGCAAATCGAATGCCAGCACTGGCCCCTTGGATTCAACAATTCTTAAAAAAAATCAAGTATAAATTTGTTAACGTGTTCATGTAAAAAAATTAAATAATAATAAAAAATGGTGAGTTAAATCAAAGAAAAGTCAGGTGCTCCTGAACAAAATCTCAATAGAAACCCCTGAACTTCTACCACAGTTTGGCACAGTGACACCATTTGGGCCAAGTTTGCAGAGTGCTATAATTAAGAATGATTCTTGTAAAATGAAATGCTTCACGCCGGCTTTTGTTAACGAGTGCCATTATGAGGAATAGACCCCCAGGGTGAAGCAAAATGGTAACTGAAGAATGTACACTCTCTTCATGTTCTATCCTCAAATAGCATGCACACATAGCAAGAGGCCTACATAACATTTATGTGTTCTTGATATGCTAAGCGAATGAGTCTTCGCTTTATATTTGCATTTATTTTTGGTTCCGGGGCACAGAAAAGACCCCAAACCACAACGTTTCTCCAAATGTGGCAAGAAGAGCATAAGGAAGAGAACCAGCTCATGCCTTGGTCTCTTTGGTTGGGACCGAGGATCATTAATAATACAGTGGTACACAGAAACATCTATACAAGAATTCTGTTGGTCTTCTGGTATGAAAAGCCAGGGTCTTCCGGCCTGCTGATGATAACGGTTGTGTAGCTGCTGAAATGAAACATCTGTATAATTTATAAATTGCATAGTGTGTTGTGTTGAGAGGCTCGTCGGGTGTCGTGGGCTCCAGTTAGATCTGTGGGAATATTCGTGGTGGTGGTTTTCATTTGGCTGATAGCCAGGAGCAAAAACAATGAGGAGTGTACCTGGAAGAATTTTTTTTTTTTGTCATCTTTCTACAGAAATCTATGCGAGGTGAATCACGAGTAGTGAGACACTTTAAGGGGTTTAATGGGGAAGCCTGAAAGCGAAGGTGTAGGATAGATCAACATGTGTTTCCATGATAAACGTGGGTGTGGACAGCTTGACTTTTTTTTTTTTTTAAGTTTAATGGAAAGTGATTTTTATGCTGGATAAAAACAATTGTCATAGCTTATTTTGGCTTGGGAAGTCTGTTTAGAAGGATGGACGGCATTGCAAACAAAGACAGATGTCTACCCTGGGCTAGAATGGAAGCCCGTTTACAACTGGGAAGCAGATCGATGTCTTATAAAGGATTGCACAAGTTGGGGTTCAGATCCCATCCCCTTCTGTGTGTCTGTGGCACTTGCGTGTTCTCCCAGTGTCTGCCTGGGTTTGCGCCAAAACATTGACAATGGTGGTTTGGAGTGCAATGGACTGACAGGCTGTTTATGATGACCCCAGCAAAGCCATGAGTTTTTAATGGATAAGTGACTATGGACAGTGGGTGACTGGGTGTGTTCCATGTTGAAATGTTATTCTTGAGATTTGTTATTAACTATGTTATTAATGAAACACAGCTTTCTGCAGTCATAAACATCTATGCTGGGCTTGCTGTTCAGTGATCATGAGCAAATGTAACTGAAGATTCAAGTGTTTCTTTAGGCTGCTTTGGGATACAGCTAAATATCTGCCGGTGTGTCTGTAGCGCTGGGCTTGCTGGAGCCTCAGAACCTGCATATTTCCTTGGCCATTAAGTCAGAACCTGAATTTTTAACATTCAGACCCAACTTATTGCATAAAGAAATATATATGTGTGTGTGTGTGTGTGTGTGTGTGCCAATAGAATATTGTGAGATTATTGGTATTTTATATATATAATCAATTGCAGTGGTTCCTTCACAACTATTTTGTGACTTACTGGTAGATTATCTGACCAGCTTCCAGCTACCTGCCCAGTACACGGCCATGCTGGGCCTGGAGATCTCAGGTGGGATGTATGCAAATTCACGAACCGCTGGCAATTTGGAGAAGCTGCTTTTGGTTGAGGAGTCCCATAAAAGACAGGCCACTGCACACACACAGAGTGGGGGATTGGAAACCCCCCAACGTGTCCCTCCCGTCTACATCCCTACGTGTGGGTTTGGTGGAGGAGTATCACAGATGAATATCAAGGAGGTGGGCAGTGCTCAAGCTGGTCTAAATGATGGAGTAATTTTACCTAAGAGCAGAACCTTCTTTTAAAAAGCCATTGTCGTTTATAACAAGCAATTCATTCAAGTTATTCATAAAATATATCAGTATATCTGGTGGAGAGGCAGAACTGAGATTTCACCAAACAATTAAGAGTGCAAAATAACTGAGAACTAAAAAATGTCAAATTAGCATCCAGGCACTTGGAAGTAGGTTGACATTTTGTACAACTTGTGTTTCTGTGTATTTCTCTTGTTTTTCCAAACTTTTGAATTGTGGTGTTACAGTCATACATTTTGAAAGCCTTCTCTGACTTCCTTTTACAAGCAAAACAATTTATTTTAATTTATTTAATTTCAGTCTAGTTTATCCATTAGAGCATGATGCTACTATGATGCTGTAGTTAATTAGAAGTGAAAACCAGGATCAAAGGTAACTAATGGTAATCATATTGCAAACAAACAAAGAATACATACAAAACCGATTGCCTAATATTTATCTGTGTGCTGTTTACTTGAATTTTGTTTTTAAATTAATCTGCATGATTTATAGATTTTTTGTGGCCATTTACAATATTTACATTTTTACCGATGTGCTTTACATCAGTCATTACGAAGTAGCGGCATTTATGACTGGTGTAGTGCCAGTTCTTGTTTTTTTAAATAAAATCTTCTTATCATTAATTTATGCCCTTTATATGTTATACAGATATGCTGGTTGATTGAAAAATATACTCAGTTATCTGGAAAGGGAGGCAAAGGGAGGTAACTGAATACAATTGCAATTTTCCAACTCATGCAGCAGAATGGCAGCCAGTGTGAATAAGGCAAATGTTCAAGAGCACGAGAACGGCACAAAAGAGGTGTCATAGCACTTAAGATGCTGTTGGGGAGTAACCATGCGCGGAACCACATAAGGGTTACATTATGTCACTCCTAGGGAAAGTAAGATAAGCTAAACCAGATAAAGGTTATTTTCTTTAGCAACATCCTGTATTTCCTCCCTTAGTTATGCAGAAACATTTAAATGGCTTGATTTGGTCATTCTTTAGAATGCTTAATGGAAAATCCTAGAGGTCCAATACAGGGTTCAGTCACAAATCCATCACCCCCTCCCACCGCCCCTTAAAAAATGTGTATTCGTTATTGTGTTTGTGAAATAGCTACAGTCAATTGACTTGCGTAGAATTAAGGAGCATTGTGTAAAGTGATGAGGTGGAGATACGTTATTCAGGGTCATGAAGAGGAAATACTTGTGTTCATAGAAAAAAAATATTCTCTGCCGCTTCATTGTCATATAAAGCTTGAGAATCACTTTCTCTGCTTGATGACATTTGAAGGCAAACTTGAGGAGATATATCAGATAAGATAAAAAACCACATCTCCAGTCCAGAAAAGGTCAGCCTCTTGACAATGCCGGCAAAACGTACCCATTTGCTAGTGTTATGTATTTATTTTACTAATTGAGTTCATCAGCCAAGCTGAAATTTTTATCTCTGCCAAGCCCCAATCCTTATACCAGACACTCAAAAATATTATCATTTATATTTAACACATTACCAAATAGAATTACCATTGGACTGAAACATTTGAACTGCCAGGAAAAATCTGGATTTAAAATCAAGGCCATTTTCTTACAAACCTCTCCACAGCCAGAATTACAGGCACAGAAAGAAATGCTGGTTTTAAAACAAAATAACGTCACTTTACCACAAGAACATCTGTTGCTGAAATACAAGAACTTTTTCATCAACTTAATGATGTCTTGTCCAAAGACAAGGACCATTCCTTGATGACTCAAAACTGTAATTTCTATCTCTTAGTCAACAAATACTTGCATGTTAGTTTTATCTTGGTGACATACACTGTATTACATTAAAGCTGACCTACATTGTAACATTGTAACTTTTTGTTGATGCTGGAACATAGAACTCAATGAAATTAGGGCTATAATTCACTATTTTTGTTTTAAAAAAGAGAATGTTTTAAAGTTTATGTTTAATCAACATTACTACCACTTGAGCTATCCAGGCAAATCACAGATATTTTTTTTTTACGATGGGAATACTGTGGCATTGACTATCTTCCCGAGTCTATAATTAAAGTGATACTATTTAGATGCGATGATGTTGCAAAAGAAAACATTTGTAGAAGAGCTTCACATGAACAAGAAATTAGGGCCATATGATATATTTCCAGAATCATAGAGGTGATTGACTAGAGATATTACTGGAGCCGATAGTGATGTGTCCACGTGTGTGTGATGAAAACCAGAGCGTAGACGCCATTGACATCTGTGTTAAGTTCCTCTCCTCCCAGTATCCTAGTACAAGAACAAATAGCGTTCCACAATTAGCCACTGTGTAACGATACTGTTTAATACTTGCACTGCTTAGAGATTATGAGACGCGTCGTTGGTCCATTGAAAATCATTATTCTCTTTGGACACATTTGGACCTCAGCTCACCATGAATGATGTGGTGTAGAACTTGGTGTTAACATTCCTATAGCAAACTGGTGAGGTAAGTGGAAAATCTCGACCATGTCCTGCGTTGGCCTGTGGCACACGGAGGAAATATGTGTTTTGAGAAACTATGTGGTCCAGTGATTTTGTCTGAGTGGGCTTGTCCTTCTTCTGCCGACTGCCAAATTCTTCATGATAAGTAGTATGCTTAATAGGGTAATCTATACAACACAAAAGACATTCTAGGAAAGGAACATAGGCAGTGCAGTAATGTTATTGGCAGCAACACTGGTTGATTTAGTTTCCGTTAAAATGACAAAAATAGAAAATAGATGTTTTCTTTTATTTTTGACAATTCCCTCAATATTCCATTCATGTCTAAATAAAAGTTGTTGCGTAATAGGTGACAGAGTGGTTCATTGGTCGTTTCACACCTCCAAAGCCATAGGCTTGATTTCCACCCCTTTTTGGTGCGTGTACACTTTGCATGTTCTCCTTGTATTTGTGTGAGTTCGCTCCTGGTACTCCTGCTTGGAGCCACGGTCCAAAAACACGCGTGTACGTGGTGTCTTCAGAAGCTCATAGTTTGTGAGCGTGTCAGCCGGCGTGTAGCACATATTTATATCATCCTGTGTATGGATGCCGGTGTAGCGCTCTCCCAGCGTCACTGTCACCGGCTGTGCTGGAAGGCCTTTTGAAAAATCTACCTTTCATGTCTTTTTCTCCCATCCGCAGTCGCCCAAAGTGCACAGCTACCCTGGTATGGAAGCGGTGCCCCTCCTTCTGAGCAAAGTCAAAGCCGAGCCGCCGGAGGACTTCCTCTCCTCTGATCCGTTCCAGACGCAGACCGAGCCCGTGGACTTGTCCATAAACAAAGCCAGGACCTCTCCCCACTCGGGCCCGTTGTCGGCCCAGTCGTCGCCCGTGACGTCCGCTCTCTCGCCGTGCCGCTCGTCGTCGTCCGCGTCCTCGTCCCCCACGGTCATCACCTCCGTGTCCTCGGCCTCCTCGACGGGTGTGCCCACCATGCTGGGGCAGGGGCCCCTGGCGGCCCCCCCTCCCTCCGGAGTCAGGGGCCAGCCGTTTTTGCACATCATCCACCCAGTCCCGCCTTCCAGTCCCATTAACCTTCAGTCCAACAAGCTGCCCAGCCACGTGCACCGGATCCCCGTGGTGGTGCAGTCACTGCCCCTGATGTACACCGCCGTGCGTTCGCCGGGGAACCTGAACTCCACCATCATGCTACCTCTGCTGGACGAGGCAAGGAATCAGGGCAAAGGTAAGAATCACTCTCCATTCCCATATAATTCGCTCTTCTCAGAGTTATGCAATGTTCTTTTATTTTTTTTCACTTCACTAGTTTTTTTCCAGAATGTGAATTACTAGCTATGAATTGTTACCCAAACGCACGAGTCATTTCCATTGTGAATGACGGAATTTCCACGCGGCACCTGAGCGTGCATCCTCTCGCAATGCCCGGGCTCGCGATCCACTGGCTGGCATGTTGGAGGCACAAAGGAGAAACTTGGTAGCTGGTCGCAATTACAGTGGCTGACTAAGAGCAGCGTGTCCCGGGGGCTGCTGAGGGGAGAGGGATGATGTCACAGAATCCAACAGTACAGCTGCTATTCCCAGGCTTTTAAAGGTACCACTCCAAGACGTTAGTTTAATACAAACCCCCCCCCTTCTATTACAAGAAGGTTTTGGTCTTTTCGCTGTGTGTTCATGCCGCGTCTTTTGTCTCCTCACTTCTTCTTGAGGTAAAGCAAGAATAGAGAAAAGACAAAAAAAAAAATATATATATATGTTTTTGTGTACACTGTAGAGATAATGGAGAGAACATCCAAAGGCATAAGTGCCGTACTGGTTCAAAGAGAAGATACTTAAAAGATAAAGGGACCTTGTGAAGTAAAGCTTTTCTCTTCTTTTGCCCCAAAATCCAGGTAATGCAGGCCAGTTGGGCTGTTCTATTACTTTAATCAGAACCACACATCTTGTGTTACTCCTGACTCACTGCTAAGGCTTGAGGCTTCAGACCTAGCTTGCTCCTCTCGTGATGTGTTCTTCTGGAGCTGCTTTCCTGGAGGTGCGGCTTCTGCAGCCGTTTCTCGAAAGCTCCGTAGAAACCATGGGTGTTTCTCTCAAATCTTGCTGAGGCTGAAGCAGAACACAAGGGAGCTGTCTGTTGTGTAATTGTTGTTTATCTGGGATTTCCGTCCCCTCCCCACTCTGGTAGGCCAGAATCCTTTGAGAGAGGCTTTTAAACGCTGTTCATCCACCACAGAATAAGGCAGAACTGAGATTCAGCTTATGTAATAGGGTGGAGATGATATTAAATATGGGTGGTGCCCTAAGTACTTAGGTACACAGAAACAACCATCCCACCCTGACTTTGTAACAACATCGTGGAAAAAGGGTGTTTTGGTCTGGCCAGAAGTTGATATTGGAACAGAATATTTTATGTATACCGCACGTTTACCGCAGAGAATTTTCTCTCAGAAATCGCCCCCTAGTAAAATTCTTAATTCACTACGTTTTGTTGCTTTGTTTATGCTTGTTAGTTTTTAAAGATTACATTTTCCCATAAAATTAATGGTATTGTACTTGCAGTCAAATAGTGTATTTGGAAGCGTATTTGTGCAAAAACAGAATATATTTTGCTTATGTGTACTGCTGACCAAAATTTTGAAGTACGCTGATGCATGGTGTAAGGCTTACATTACATGTTTTTTGTTTGAAGAAAGAATTTTTGTGGATCTGATGCATATAGACAAATCCTTGGATATGTATTTGAAAAGTTGCTGTGTATTTTAAGGGCTGAATTTCATAGAATAATTGTTATTATGAAGCAAGAGTTCTTGATTGTGGGGATAGCCATATTTCAGTCCCCCCCGGGGGTGTCCCAGGGCCTCCTCTGCACTCTGTCTGTGCTCCAAAGGTACAGACTGGCCATCTTCCTCCAGAAGCCTTGCACCCCTCTCATCAGCTCAATGTCTGGATGGTTACCATGGAAACAAACCTAGATTTGAAACAACAGGAACAAGATACAATGAGACTCACATATCCCTTTTAATTTTTAAGCATGCCTTTTATCCCTTCTCTAAACATTAACTTGTATGCAAAAAAAATGCAACTATATAAATTTTGACTGCATCATACAAAGAGCATTTTGGCATTAATGACCTATTGGCATTCCTGGTTCGATGCTATTCAGTGTTCCGGTTCCATAGTTCACTATGCCTTTAGTTAACAAGACAGTTTTCACATGATATCACCAGTTTATTTGACATAAAAGTGTTATCAACCATGTCTGCAAGAGGACTCCAGTGGCACAATATTACAGAAATACTCTAGTCAAATAATGAGTCTATCAGGTCTTCTTACTACAGCTGATGTATATAATCTGATGTTAGAAATTTGAATAGTGACTTTTGTGACCTAATAACTTGCAACTCAGCCGGTCTATCAATTTTCTGTATCATTTATCTAGTAGAGAATAAATTGCTTATTTGATCATCAAAATTGTACTTTAGGCAAATTATTTAACAAACCTTGACCTAAGCATAATAGTGTTAAAATTTGATGCATTGATTATTTATGCAAATTATTTTTGTTCTGTAGTAATACTGTTACTCAAAATGTTTTTTTATATATACTGCAGTAACAGAGTGAACAACAGTCGTTAGCATGTAGATAGCAAGGAAATTGCATGCGAGTTTAGCGTAAAAATGCCATGGAAAATGAAGTGAATAGTGAGGATTTTTAGCTGAGTGACTCGGGAAGCTGAAACATGGTGCTGCCAAATGCAGACAGTGCCCACATTCTGCACCCTATGTGTTATGACAAGTACCAACGGACATCAAGGTTCGGAGATTGAATCCACTTCCTCCACAGATTCCGGGAAGTTTTCCATACGGTATCTTCTACTCCAAAGTATCTGTGACCCTTTATATGCCTATCAATGCAGGTGCAGCTCTGGAGATAAAAAAAAATAAATTGTAATATGAAAAACTATTTCATTTAAGAATTATACCTACAACAAAAATAGCGTAATCTAATTGTGATTTTTATATCACATACTGAATATTTGAAGGTTTTCATCTTTCTATACGTTTTTCCAAAATCCTTATGGCTGGATGTTATTGTACCTGATTAATAACTTGCTGTAGAAAAAAATGTATATAGGTAATTTATAATGGATCTGTCCGTCCAATAGGTCATTGTCTGGACACTGGTCAATTTGTCGCATTAATTTCTAGGTCAATACAATGCATTACTACTTAGTATTGGGCTGTTGACTTAATCCAGCCTGGATTTAAATAGACCTATTCTCAGTATTTTTCAACAGTCTATCCCATATTTTTCTCATTTGTGGCTTATTTGTTAAGGAATATTATTAGGTACAATATCACTGCCCGATGGAATAGCGATTTCTGTACGTGGTTTCTGTTCTGACGCCAGTCATGACACACAAGTTGGTGGGATCCTTGGGGTTCTCTGGGAATCGTAGGACTTAATTTTCGAGGTTCATTCGTTATGTAACAGTCAAATAGAACATCCCATTCATTGTGTAGTGTGAATATTACGACTGCGGAGCAGACTGGGAATACTGGGGTTTTTGGTGATGTTTTTATGTTTCTGAAACGTTGTAGCAAACATCAGAAAGTCAATTACATGTAGTATGATAAGGAAATATGGGAAAACACCTTTGAGAATGAGGCACCTAAGTCTACTGGCCGTCCTTTTCACAGCCTTAATATTTTTACAGCACACGAACCAAAATTTTTCAGCTGCCATGGTTCCTAGCCCAGGGATACGGCCGTGCATGGTGTGTGGCTCGCGTGCTGTTTTTTTAGGTAGTGGGTGGGGACAGTTCTCGATGGTGCCGAAGTCCCTCACGGCAGGAAATGGTTCTCTATCATGGCAGACTGGCGGGCCTGTCTGCCCCAAAGCTGATAATGGGATGGGGGGGGGGGGGGGGGGGGGGGTGACGAGTCCTGACAGAAGGAGGGCCTGGGGGGTGCGACGTGAAATACTGCCCGCCAGAAGTCCAATCTGGGAGCGCGCAAGCTTACACTGACCTCAGGAGAAACATTAGGTAGCAATCTGTGGAAGGCTTGCATTTGTGCTACATGTGTAATCTACGGCAACAGAGCCTGTCGGTTGGTTAAGTGATGACAGCTTTGTTTTATTGCTGTTCAAAAAACCATTTTGAATGTTTATATGACTTACAGTACTGTGTTTGCCGTTTAAATTTTTTTTCCTGTTTTAATAGTACTAATGTATCAGAATTAAACTCAAGTCCCTCCTGTTTTTCTCGATTAGACAAAACTACCTCTCAGTGTTTTAATGTCTTCCTCCCATTTTGCCTGTAAATGAAAGGACCTTGATGTTTGGAGAAACTTTCCTCACTAAGAAGTATTTCAAGTGTGAAAAGCCTTATCAGCTTTTTTGCAAGTTAAGCGTTACAATTAACTGACTGACTTCCCTTTTCGTTGTTTTTTGTTTTTCAGGAGTGCAAACCGACACGAACAGCTTGTCGCCGAGGCAAATAAAAAGCGACAGCGATGATGACCTGCCAAATGTGACCTTAGACAGTGTTAATGAAACGGGATCTACAGCCCTTTCTATAGCGAGAGCTGTACAGGAGTGAGTAGCAATGTTTACTTTTCTCCTCCAATCCTTGTAGTATGTGAGATGCAGAGTTGGGTAATTTCAGTCCAGAGAGTAAAAATCCAGACCGGGATTTTGTTTCAACCAACCAGTTGAGTGCTCTTTGGCTGTGACTCTCTATGCTCAACTGGTTGCTTGAAACAAAATCTTGGTCTGGACTTGTACTCTCTGGACCTGAATTATCCAACTCTGATGAGATGTTTAGAAAAGACTGCAGCTAACATTTTGAACTTGAGACTTATTATCAGTTTTATCTGATGGCAAGATCTGTGTTTGTACTTTGGTGTTTTTGTCCTCTGTGCTTGGGGCCAGTAGAGGCATGGATACCCCAGCAGATTCAGGGGCCCCAGCACTTTACAGGGGCCCTTCAATAGCATCAATCCATCTTCTGTATCTGCTTATCCTATTCAGGGTCCTGAGCCATTCCTGGAAGCTATAGGTGCAAGGCACCAATAACCTAGGATGGGGTTACTTTGGTTGCTTATGGTAAAGGTTAGGGCTGGGTGGGGGTTAAGGTTGTCATTGCTGGGATTAGGGTTTTGCCCAGAGAAATGAATGGAGAGTCCCCACAAATTTACAATTACAAATCTCTCTCTCCCTCTGTGTGTGTGTGCATGTGTGTGTGTGTGTGTGCATGTGTGTGTGTGTGAAATTCCACCTCTGATCGCTGTGTTAGTGCGGAGTTCATGGGTGAAAGATGAGGCATGCAGATGGCGTGGAATCCGAATCCTGTCCAGTGTTCTGAAAGGGGGGGGGTGGATCTCTGAGAGACCCATTTGGTCTGGAGCCACCTGGGTAGAAAACTGCCCCTCAGCACACATCAGTCAGTGCATGAAGGCGAACACGGGAGGCGGAAGGGCTGGGGAATCCTCACCTTTTCCGGACTTGTTTACATCCGTGAAAGATACACTAATTGGATTGAGGAAGTATGACAGTGTGGGCTGAATTAAACGGCTCCCTCATTAATAAGCTGCTTATAGGCAATGGCATGATGTAATTAGCAACATATTACTTTTGCTTATCAGTTTTGATCACTACATTTTCACTAAAACTGGCCTGTATTACTGGTGAGATGAGGCAAAATGTATAATTTGAATGGAGCCTTGTTATGTTTGCTGATCACATTAGGTTATGCTTTTGGCACTTAAAGGAAAAGCATTTTTGTGTGACAGATATTGAATTAATTTTACACAGTTATTTTGTGGATAAACAATTTAATTTTTATAACATTCTGATTAGGTAGTTGCTTAACCCATTGACAATGAATTATTTCAAATTTAAAGGTAAACATGCTAACTGGTAATTGTAAGTAAAAAAAACACAGAGAAAGGACTCTTTTATTCAGTAAATGCAATGATGCATTTCTTGTTTTAAATAAATTATTTAAGCTATTACTTGAGCTATTTCTGTTTTAAGGAATTTTTGGCAAATTAAACACTTTTTTTCCTGAGGATGTTTAACAACATTTGTTGGGATAATCTGTCATCATGTTTCCATCGCACTGTACGCACTGTAAAGCAGTGCTAAGCCAGAATGAGCCGCTCGGCAAAGTTGTGCATCACAGAGTGCCTCAGTCATGCTGGGGCTCAGAGAAGCCAGTGTCCATGTTGCTGTCCAAGGTAAGCACATTAATAAGTAAAGGGCTTCTTCTGGGTATGTGTGTGACACCAGCTCCTGTCCTGCCACTCTCCATATTCATGAAGCCCTGGAGACAGGTCAGCCTATTGTTAGGGAGGTGCAGGCTGTGCCTGGGCGGGCGCCCTGGGGCCCGGGGCTACTAACCGGAACAGGCGGGGTTCTGTTCCCGTATTCCTGCAGTATGGCTTTAAGTTTTCAAGGTAGCTAGTGCTGTCAGTCACTTTACCTCTGTAAGTTCATCCATTTATTTATAACCACACTGCAGCCTTCGTGTGCTAGATTGCCGCAGTCTGTTCCTCCGGTCATAGGTGTGGTTTGTACTTGTGCATTGGTGCACGTGTATATTTCGTGTCTTTGTCTGTTTGCTTGTGTGTTCCTCTGAGGACAATCCTATATTGGAGGTCTCTATTTTTTTTTCCTATATGGAAAATAAAAAACTCAAAATGTTTTTCTTGTCACACACTCTGAAATTGCAATATCGTCCCCCGAGTGTTAAATGACAAAAGACTTTGTCAGAATTGTGGATTGAGGTACAGGGGAACGCTTCTGAAGGCTCACTGTGATGTAACATACTCACTGTATGAAACTAACACAACTCCCTTGGTAGGTGAAGCTATGGGAAAAGAACAAACAAGGAACAATAAAGAAACAAAAAAGAATCCTTTTAGAATCCAGCTTAGACTGTACTTCCTCTTTCCTCATATTTGATAGCAACAAACAAGGAAATTCACCTAGCCTAAATGGCAGGGTTATTCAAGGTTCACAGCAGCTATTTGATTACGCTAAAACGTAGGTTCATTAAACGACAGGCACTGGTTATTATTGCAAGTATTGTTATTATTAATAACAATTAATAAAAAATGATATACAAGGAGTGACTTTAACATGATGGTTATTTTAATGGCATTCAGTAGAATACCTTTGCTTGTCACAGTTATAAACCCGTGGTTGCCCTTTCTAAGAAGGGCAACCACAACCGTCACTCACATTATAGTGATCCTTAGAAATGAAGCTCTCAATTTATTTACATTAAACTTACTTTATGATTAAGTTTCTCACTGTAATATTATTAATTATTGTGATTAAGTTGTTGTGATTAGTTCAACAACTGCTCAAATGGCTTTGGGATATAATCTTGCACTGTATGTTATTATTATTGGCTTTTAAATAATCAAAAGAAATGCGACGGTTCCGCAAATGGAAATCTCCCGGTCCGAGTGACAGAAACATGGAGGTTGCACTGGGTCCCAGTAGAGACGGCCTGTCTCCAGATGTCTGTGCAGGGCCGAGGCGTCCCTCTCTGGGCTGTTTTTCGCCTCGACTTTGTTCCAGCGTTTCCTCTGCGCTGTGGGAGAGGGGAGCGAGAGTTCAGGCTCATTTCTGACAGATTTGGTCATTTCCGCTGGGCCCCAGCATGGCCGCTCGCCAAGAGCAACAGGTGATCCCTGTGCCGGGCTAGATGGGGGGTGGATACAGGAAGCGGGCTGTGTGTGCTGGAGACTGTTGACCAGAGGGGCTGTCTGGCCACCCAACCCCCTGCAAGCCCCACCCCAGTTACTGCTCAGAAGACTCCCCCCCC